CCAGGCATATCAACTGCATGCATGCAAAAAATTTAGGGTTAAATAAATGTACGTAAAAATCATCCAAAACAATATGTAAAATATATAAATGTATATGTATTTATGTATCCAGCTTTATTATAAACTTATAGTCGTAGTAGTTGGAGATGTTAAATGGACAGGTTAATTAAATTGAATTTGGACGGATCAAAATGAGCGGAGTTAACAAGTTGATGAGTTATTCACTAATGCAAGAGTTATCTGGACTGAAATAGGCTAAAATACAGGTCATAATTCGATTTGTCCAATTTTTACTATGTTTTATTTTATCCTTTACAAATTTATTTTGTACCTAATAACACTATGTTTTTTTTTTGCTTATATTTATTATGATATATATATAACATATCGAATACTTATTTTTTGAAAAGATTGTTCATGGATAAAATGGGCGGGTCGGGTCAAAAACTTGAATGAATTGGACGAGTTATGTTTTCATGGACTAATTTTCTACGCACCTATAATAGTATTTTCCCGTTTCAATTTATTTGTCTGATTTTGAATATGAAATTTAAGAAAATAAAGAAGATATTTAAATTTAGTCATCTTATTTTAAAAGTACGTAGAATGTAGCATAATATCATTTAACCTTGTGTTCTTAATTAAATGTCACCTAGAAAATTAGAATTTAAGAGTTGCAAAAAAATTAATTTTCTTTTAAATAAATGAATAATAATAATAATAAAATAACACAAATAAACTGAAACAAAGGAATAGTAAATCAAAAAAAGTAAGTTACGAACCAATAGCAATAGCCAAAAGAAGAACGAAGAAGATAGCAAACTTGTTCACTTGAGCCATATTTGCAAATTAACACTAAATTAATGTGTGGTGATGGTTTTTCTTTCATGGAGAAGGATCTTATTTATAAACCTCCCAAGTATACTACTAATAATTAATAAATTAATTACTCATTTGACTTTTCTCTTTTACTTTTAATTTCTTTTTTATAGGTAAGACGATTTGCTTTCATTTGTTCCAAAGAAAAAAACAAGACCAACAAACCAAAAAAAAAAACAAAACACCATTATTCTCTTGCCAAACCCTCTAACTAGCCTACATTATTCTTGCCAAACCCTTTAGTACTAAGGTAATTAGAGGTAAATTATTATTAAATTGATGGAAAAAAATCTTATCAAGAGCTCATCGGCGAATCTCCGTTAAAGAATTAATTTAAATAGTCATTTATCAAATTAATTAAATTAAAAATAGTCAATTTATAAAAAAATTCATGTACAATATATTATATGATTGTGTTTATATAATTAATATATAATCTAATGTATATGTGTACCGGATTTAAAACAGGAGATTTATCAACTTGAAAACTGTACTTGAGGGGTGTATAAGGAAAATATTTTCCTGAAAAAAAATCATTTAAGAAAATAAGTGGAGTTTATTTACTTATTTTTCATGTTTAATTTAATAAATTAACAAGAATATTATCCTTAAAGTATTTGTATATAATTTAGACTAGATAAATACTATGAGAGGTGGGAGATAGGGGCTACGGGAGTGAGAGATAAAGATGAGATGTATTGAAGAGCGAGAACGATATATGAAATATTATTTGTGAAACTTAATTTCCCTATTTTTACTAAGGTAATTTTCCGCCGTATCGTACACACCTATATATATGGAGGAATGTTATTCCATGTACGATCATAGGTAGTGCATTTAACTCATCTCTTTTAATTTGCCCCCTAGGATGGCTATGCTATCCTTCTTCTATAATAAAATAATTAGGGAGTCGAGTATCATGTATTCATCTATTTTCTTCGATCCATTTTTTTAATCATATTTAGAGTATATTTCTTAAGAAAATATTAACCAAAAATTAATTTATCTAAATTATTTTTATCCATTTATTGATGTCAATTTAATACTAATTTTTTCCTACCATATAATGAATCTTTCTCCATTTTTTTTTTTTTGAGTAAAGAGAAAAGGTACAAAATACAGAAAACTTGTTCATTTGATTAAAAGTATATTTTGTGTTTAACCTAGTTAAGATAGATTGTTACAATTAATAAAAATTAGCTAGCATGGTTAAATTTTGGACAACTTGTTAATATTTAGCCACAATTTAGGAGGCAAATAGCATCTAAATAAAATTACTCCTAGCAAAAAATACGGAATTAATTCGAGCACAAAATGTTGGAGTTTCAAGTTTTTACAAGTGAAATGTGTTGGAGTTCGAAAAAAAAATTCTAAAGTAGTTATAAGTTCAAATTATTATAATAAACGAAGAGATATTTAATACGATATCTAGTAAAAATGGATCTGATATAAATATCAATTAATCTACCATTTTAATTTTAAAGAAGATTGAAAAGATTATATTTTGTAAGGAGAAGGGCTCATATGATATGATGTGATATATATAATTCAATAATGTAGTTTAATCACAGATATTTAATTTGTTTTAATAAAACAAAAATTGTATTTACATAATTTGATTTTGGTAGCTCACATGTTTCATGACCATTTATTGTCTTTTCACTTTATTGACTAAAGGTGCCAAAAGCTGCTGGAAGTTTTTTTTTTTTTTTTTCTGATAATTAAAAATATTTATATAATACTAATTAAGCATAAAAAAGTCAAGGTCTTTTGGTACAAACATTGATAATAGTAGTGCAAGGATTATTTTTGTCAAGTGTTTGGTTCACTACTTTCCACTTAATTTTGTGTTTGATTTAAAACTCTACAAAAAAATTCTTTTCTATTATACCCTTGTGCTATTATGAGTGTTTATTTCATGTAATTGGGTCAAGTAGATTAACCACCGGGGGACAATTTTTTTTAAAGAATTTTCTATTCCATTTAATTAGTTAAATCAAATACATATATACATAAAATTGTTATTAATTTTAAGGTGTGATGTACCACTAAGAAGATCATTGATGGCACAACGTATTTCTAATTTTTTGTTGGTCAAGTATATATCTTAAACTTAACATAGATTTAAGACTACTTAAATGTTCAATACCTAAAGCTTTTTTTTTAAAAAAAAACAAATAGTTCAAGTGGGTAATCGACAAACTATCTTGAATAAAATAAAAATCAAGAAAAAATGGAGAAAAAAAATATTAGTGAAAATCATTAAATTACACTAAACGAATTTAGAGAATTAAAAAAGAACATTTATAACCATTTCAATATAAATAAAAAGGAAATTAAATTACAAAAGAAATTTAGAAAAAAGAATAAAGTAGTTTCGTCATTTAGGAGTCTTATCCAAGGTTTAACAAACCTTAGATTAGTTATCCCTCCATTTTCTAGGGATAAGATAAGACCACATATGGTGGTGAATAAGCAATTCATGGATTAAATTAAATGAAGTAATCAAACAATGTATTAGATGGACTAAATTTTAATCCATCAATTATTCTATGTAATACCGCCTACCAAACGGGTCCTGAGTGTCATGACTAACCATAATTGTTTGATATGTTTATCCTGCGTAAGGTTAGACGGTCTCAATTTATCCCATCATTTATATGTTAATAATGAAATTAATTATTGAAATAACTTATCTCGAAATAATTACTCCTCAAATAACGTATTTCCAATTAATCGACCCCTAACACTGCAATGTCAAGTTGTACACCTAAAATACCGTAGTACTTAATCATTACAAACCAGAATAAAAATTGTTTTTGTAAAAGTAATTTTTAAATTTGTCTATTATAACAATATTTCAGGGCAGACACTAGAAAACTGGCAAGTAGACTAGACGATGTGATAAAAAAAAAAAAATTCTTTTGTTTTTTTTTAAAATTTAAAATAATCATCCTCTATAATAATATTATATTATAATAATCAAATTTTCTTTGAAATCAGTAACGGATTAGTTGTTATACGAGAGACAACCACCAGACCAGTAAACGCAATACTTACCTTATAATTATCTTTGCGTAACATAGTGATATAGGCGCGATAGCAATTAAATTACTGCTATCGCGCAAGACCCATTGTATATAAGGAACCATACCGAAATTCAAATTGTTTTTTTTTTTCATTTTTGTGCTTAAAAAAATGCGGAATAATGTCGGTATACATGTCAAACTCATGCATCATCAATTAAATGAAAAAAGAAACTACTCCCTTCATTTCAAATTGATTATTCAGTTTTTACTTGAAACAAAATCTAAGAAAGTTAAAGGAATTTTTAATTTTGTGGTCTTAAGCATGTCACGTAAAGTATCGATCTTTGACCTATATACACAATATGATTTTTCGACTAAGATTTTTATTTACACTTATTTCATGAAGGTATGAATCTCAATTATTCAGATCTTAGTCGTTAGGTATTTTTCTATGATTTAGATCTGAATTTGATCACTTGTCAATGATTAAGTATATCTATTTTTTGTATCGCCTAACATGTTTAGTTTATATTTATAATTATATATATACTAAATGATTAAGATTTATAATAATATTTTAATATCATTAATATGTTATATAATTAAGGATTTTTATAGGGCGACATTTTACCGCTATTCCGTTCGCTTTCACCCCAAAGTTTCGTTGCTCATCACTAACCAACCATCATGCATAAATATGAAGCATTATAATTTCAAATAAGGAAAAGTTTTTTTACATTAAGATCGATATCACGATAACAAACAATCTAAAATTAGTTATTTAATATTCAGATCTTAACATATTTCAGACGTATATTCAAATCCATACGTCTTAACTAATCTTATTATACCTATTCATATTCAGTTCAGGTGAAGGATTCGCGAGATTTACTCGTGGAAATCGCGGCAATGGAGCAAAAATTGGGTCTTGTTGGTGATTTGATGACCTGCCTAAGGTCATGCAATGTTAAAAGGGATTGTGATGATGCTAGTGATTTGTGCACCAAATGCTTTCCCTGGTGGATACCATTGTGATGTGCTCACAGCTAATGGTCAAGGATATTATGCAACTATGTTACAAGCACGTTACAATGAAGAGCACATGTATTGGATGACTAGACAATCACCAAATTCGCTTGTAGTTGGTACTGGTATCTTTCTGAGTTTTGAGAGCAAAAGGTAAGAAAATTTATCTCATCATTGATTCATTTTCCTATGATCAATAGTTTGTGTTAGATTCACTTAAGATATTTATTGTTAATCTGTTCAAAGCAGTGATAGCACAGTCTCTGTAATTTGTAGTTGTTGTGTTCCTAAACTAGTTACATTCCATTTCAGGAAGAAAGGAGTTATACTTCAAAGTTCAAACACACTGGAAAGTCACCTTGCCTGAAGGTAAAAAAAAAAATACTTTTATCAGTTGTGGATCCGATTGGAAAACTTTGGGTACGGATGTGAACATGTCTGATCAAGCCACTTTTTCATTCCATTCAGAGGAGTAATAATTTATCCCTGACATAGCTAGGTGGGATAGTAGTAGTCAAGTGGATGAAGGGTATACCAACTCTATAATATAACAAGAGATAATCAACATGTATTTGTCTACTTCTGGGATCACCACTCAGCCCATCAATCTCCCTTGATAATTTTTGCTGGTAGTGGTTTTCCAGGTTTTCAATACAATTCAGAAATAAATAACTATCTCATGAGTCTAACAGTCACCAAGTATATTCTACCTAGATCTTAAGACGGACACAAAGTCCAAATATCAATTGCCAAATCTTCTCATTTTGTTCCTTTCCCAGTTTTTGGTTTCGGTTTTACGCTTTGGTCCACTTCCAGAGCTACCAACTATGCCATCAGTGTTGAAGCAAGCAATTGCTCTCTGTAAATAAAAATATTTTATAAATGAGCACTCCTCCCCTGAACATTTGCTTCATGATCTTTAAGGCTAGATCAATATATATATATATATATATATATATATATTGCAAATTACTATCAAGTTATGTTTGTGTATGTGTTGCTTCAAGAGTTTATTATGTGAGTCTTGTTTTGTGTGTGTTGTAATAATTGATCCAATTTCTTTTTAAGAAAAAGAGATTTGGTTACACCTCTAAATTAAATGGAGCTTTTTTCTTATCATGTTATATTAAGTGTGGTTATTCTAGCTACGTCAGAATTTATGTCTTTATATATGCGTGTAGGTCTAAATATGTTTTTATATTAATCTTCTAATTATATTAGGATGTTTAAAATCAAATTACTAACGTACGCCAAACTATTAATGAAGAACAAATAGGGTGATTTTTTGCATATTTTAAAGACATGCTATAAGCCCTTTTTTGAATATATAAAATCTAGGAATGATGCAATCAAATAATTGATTACCAGAAGGAATTGAAATTAAATAAATATAATATGATCGTAATCAGTTTCATGATTACATACAATATTCAATTAATTTCTCATTAATCATAAGGGTAACATTGAGAACTTGTAAAGAAGGAATTAACTCATGTATTTTCTATAGTTTTGAAGGATCTTAATTAGTTTCATGATTACATACAATATTCAATTACACTACAAAAATTAGAAAATAACACGTGTCATCACTTTTTATATACAGTTTCTATTGGTAGGATTTCAATATTGAATTTAAAAGTATGGGCTCAAATACATTATTTGTTATAATTTTAGTAAATTAAATTTATACTCGACACAAAAAAACAAAAAATTCAAGAACATCATACTTTCCTTTCATAATCAAATGAATGGAAATTCTTTCACTTTAACCAAATGTTTTGAGTCAAGATTTTTTTATAAAAATATTATTTTTAATAAATTTAACGTAACACAAATTTAAATTATCGAAATCACCATGGTTATACAATACAGTAAAAACGAAAAAAAATGAGAATATCATGTTTTTCTGCGACTCCACATGGTATGTGATCGTACTAATTAAAATATTAAACAAACGTAGCTACCTACCCATATGTCTGCAATTTAATTTTTTTCCCCCAATTCTTACTACAGAACAATTTTTTGTCTACTAATCGGAGATTGTGATCTCGCCGGCTAAGTATGTTGTCATCTCCATTGAAATCAGTAGTGGGTTCACTTCCCACAGTGTCAGAACCAAATGGCTCTCAACCAAGATCGGCACCTTCATTAGCAATGTTGAAGTTGAACAAAACTATCTTTTCTCCTCTTCAGGTTTTGTTTTCTGGACTCTTTTATGCTATGAACTGTTTAAAGATCAGATTTTGTTTGATGGGTGTTGTTCTTTTTGTTACTTTAGTAAGTATTTTGGCTTATATTGAATTTGAACAGACTTTTGTTTTCTGATTTTTATGCTGTGGATCTGTTTAAAGATCACATTTTGTAAAATGGGTATTGTTGTTTTTGTTTTAATATGTATTTGGCTTATTTGAAGTTGAACAGAGCTTTTCAAGATTTGGTTTTTGATCTTTTTGAGCTATGAAACTGTTTAAAGATCATATTTTGTTTGATGGGTATTGTTCTTTTATTGTTAGTTTGATGTGTATTTGGCTTATTGAAGTTGAACAACTCTTCAGGTTTTGTTTTCTGATTTTTATGCTGTGGAACTGCTTAAAGATTACATTTTGTAAGATGGGTAGTGTTCTTTTATTGTTAGTTTGATGTGTATTTGGCTTATTGAAGTTGAACAACTCTTCAGGTTTTGTTTTCTGATTTTTATGCTGTGGAACTGCTTAAAGATTACATTTTGTAAGATGGGTAGTGTTCTTTTATTGTTAGTTTGATGTGTATTTGGCTTATATTGAAGTTGAACAAACTCTTCAGCTTTTGTTTTCTAATCTTTTTATGCTACGAAACTATTTAAAGATCATAATTTGTTTGATGGCTATTGTTCTCTTTTGTTAGTTTAGCAAGTATTTGGTTTATATTGAAATTGAACAAACTTTTGAGGTTTTATAATCTGATTTTTATGCTGTGGAAATGTTTAGAGATCACATTTTGTAAGACCCAATTGTTGTTTTTATTAGTTTAGCAAGTATTTTGGCTAGTATTGAAGTAGAACAAACTCTTCAAGATTTGTTGTTTGATCTTTTTAGGCTATGAAACTGTTTAAAGTTCACAACTATTAGATGGGTATTGTTCTTTTTGTTAGTTTAATATGTATTGTCTTATATTAAAGTAGAACAAAACTTTTTTTTTCTCCTATTTAGGTTTTGTTTTTGGATCTCTTTTATGCTCTGCAACTGTTTAAAGTTCAAATTTTGTTAGATGAGTTGTGAATTTCTATTGTTGTTTATGTTGTATTTGGTTTATTTTGAAGTTTCTACTTGGGTGGTAAGTAGTATTGGGAAGGACTAAGAGGGGTTTTAGTGTGAAAGAATCTGAGCATCCAATCCAAAACTTTAATGTAATGCGTGGATTCACCTATGAATATATAAATTGACTAATAGGTAGTTGGATGAATGTAGCTTGATTAATGATAAGGGGATTCTGATGCTGATCTTTAATCTTAAGCATCATTCTGGCTATTTCATTTGAGAGAAAGATGGAAAATATATAAGTAATTGATTTATGAATTTGTGTAGAAAAAACTACCTTAATCCTCATTAAAGATGTGGCAAGTGCTTTCCTTTGGCCCAGGTGGCTGTGCAACATGGTCGGAATTGTAACCGATTGTGCATCTGTTCTAGTGAGAGCATGAAGGTTAGGCTTCAGGAAGGCTCTGAAGCTCACGTTAGTTACACTTTGTGCATATTTGTAGATAGTAGTGAATGTTCTGCAAAATCATAGTCATATGAATTAAAATGTTGGTATTGTAGGATAAAGTTGGTAGAGGGTGTTGTGCAAATCATAGTTGATGAATCAGGCAATAAAAATATAGATATGAATACAGTACCACCTGATTACAAAACAGGCTAGTTATGTCTCTTATGGTGTGTTTGGTTATGAACAGAATAATGGTCCAATTAAGGTGTCAATCGAGTGAGTTTGAATAAATGTGGAGAAGAAAAGGTAGTCTACTTGTCAGTTTGCTTGATCTTGAACATTTTTGCTGATTTTTGTAGAAAATATATGTACTGCTTCCCAAACCTGCTATATGTGATATACACAGAGTAATTCCCCATTGGATTAAGTCCAGTCTTAAAGCAGTGGATCTACCTTTGCTCCTTAAGAGTAGACGAAAGAAACTTTCCCCTCCCAATTGAAGGTGCTGTCAAGGCTAATATTGACCGCTGCTCTTAAAACTGGTTTTAGAGTTACAGGATCAAAACCAACACCTTATTTTGGGGCTGATAAGTCCCCATGCTCTTTAAATCCAGGACTTCAGCTCCCTATCATTCTCTAGCAAGTACAAATCCAAGTTAGTTTTATTCCAATCACAAGGCTTGCACACCTGGGCCTGAGAATAAGACCTGCTGTTCAGACTAGATGTTGTTTAAGGCTAAACTGAACTGTAGAGCCGACAAGCATCCGAGCAAGCTGGAAATACTTGAATATTTGATGAAGAGAGAACTAGATTTGACTTTTTCGATAAGTAAGCAGTTTTTTATCAAACAATATCAGGGATGAATACGACCAGTCACTTGGGGCAGTTTGTAGGATAGATCAACAACCATATGTGAATATAAAAGACACAGAGCTTTTACTTCATTGAAGGACTTCTCAATTGTTGAATTCCAGTTGCCGGAACATTTGTTTCTACTTTAGGCAAATCCAATAATTGAATTACTTGTTCTAGATGAGGTGATATGGTGACCTATGCAGAGTTTAAAAGTTTCAAATGCTTTACTTTTGTGAAACTTGTTAGCAACTCATGTTGGCAACAAATGTCATTAGTGTATATATAACTAAATGCGTGCTAATATTATATAAGATAAAAGTAAAGTCAGCGTACTGAAATTATGAACGAAGTCATGTGGCTTATTACTTTTTTCAAGTGCATTAATTGGTATCCCTTTGATAAGAGATACTTTTACTTGACAAGATGTTTTTGTTTGGAACTTCTCCATTTCCACCAACATATTGACATGCATACAACCCAAAGCAATGATTAAGCTCCGATAAGCTAAGTTGTGTGGACTCTTCACTTTCAATGCCGTACTCGTGTCGTATTCTCCAAAAATATACTACTTTTGGAGAATCCGACACGTGCCTATTGATATTTTTGAAGAGTCCAAGCAACATAGCCGATAAGGATATGGTATTTGCAAAGTTTGACCTCTTTTTCTCCATTCTTGATGTTATTTGCTTCTAGCATTCACAAGCCATATGAAATTGAGAGTGTTATTTTACTGAGCAAACACAAGCATAAGTATTTTAAGAAGTAGATGGTTGTCTTTGGTTCCGCTAGAGATTTTAGATGCTTTCTTTTGTATCTTAGCATGTCCTTTCCCTTCCAGTTGACAGGCAACGGAAAGGAGTTACCTCGGCAGGAGACAACCTCAACTGCTGTTTCAAGAAGAGAATTGGTAGGTTTGGCAGCTACAACATTAGGTGGACTTGCCCTTTTGGCTGCAGAACCTGCAGAGGCACTTGAAGTAGCTGATATTGGGGATTCAATCAAGGAGCTGTTTGGATTTTTCAAAGGCAAACCAAAAACAGGAGCAGACAACGAAAAGAAACCAAATAGCGGAACTGATGATAAGAAGCCAAAAATGGAAGGCCATGGAAACAAACCAAAGATTGAAGCTGATGAAAAGAAGTCAAAAGTGGAAAACCATGGAAACAAACCAAAGGTTGAAGTTGATGAAAAGAAAACCAAAAACGGAGATGATACGAAGGCATCAGCCCCTCATCACTCAGAGAAGGAAAAAGTGTCATCTTCTTCTGCTGCTGCACTAAGCCTTCCCAACATTTTGAATAACATAGTTCCCTAACTTCTCATTTACAAATGCTGTTGTGCTCAGATACATTTTCAAGAAACTTGACAGACTTTTTGGATCCTACAATTCATCGTTGCTAAACTCATGTCTAAAATGAAACCTTAGACAAGGTTTGTGTAGGTCAATGAGTTCAATGTCAAGACTATTGAAGTATTTTCATTTCAAAGATTCTCATTTTATCTGTCCATTTAATTACAATTGACAATCTAATGCACAAGGCATCCCACATTCACGCAGGCTTCAAGGAAGGCCTGCATGTCCAAGGGGTCATGTAGGAAGCCTACACTAGCGTAAGTGTCAATGACTCTAATAGGTCATTATGGAAGAAAATGTGCGCAAGTTGTCAATGACTGATTCCACCGATTGAATCGTGATTAATAGGTCATTACAAAAGAAAACAAACGCAAGTATCCATTACTGATTCCACGACTCGAATCATGACTAATTGATCATTCATTATGGAAGAAGAAAAGATCCATCTTGTTAAAGTAGTAACTAATATAAAGTATCAAACTTTTTTCATAAAATTAAACTAGTTTAAATCAAGCGATCTGAACATTACTATTCATATAGCTTACCTAAACTTGCTCAAAATTGAATTAGAAAAAAGTGCATATAACAAAGAAAACAACCATAAGATCTTTTTTATATTATTGTGGAAGAAAACAAACACTTGCTACTTCTAATTCCCACTACAAACTAACCAAAAAAAATAAAAATCAAACTGTTTTTTTGTTCAAGCTTTCCACTAACCTATGCATTTGAAATCTCCAAATAAAGAATATAAACAATCCAATACCAATTAATATATATAACCAAACAGGCTCTTCTTCACTTTCTTTCTCAGATTCCACTTCAGCTATACCAAACTCATCTCTTTCTTCATTTCCATTTATACCCTTCATTACATGCCCATATAACACATATACCCTCCTCTCATCTCCTACTGTCACAGCTGTAGCAAACCTCTCCCTCTCAAGGGCAGTTTCGTCATATACTCCTCCTTCTCCCCATCCATCATTGCTATTTAAAAAATATAGCTTCTCTTGACTCACAACCAAAACGATGCCGTCTCCTCTAATGGTAATTCCGTCAGCCGCCGTTAAGTCTCTGTTTAATATAACGGCTCTCGCTACTCCGTCGTCAACGTTGACTTTGAATAATTTCCCGGTATTTGATTGGACCACGAGTAAATATCCTCTCGGACTGAAAACGATGCCGTTTAAACCACATTTGTGGTAATCTGTCGTCGTATCGACTGGATGAGATTTGAACGCTTTTGATTTTGATAAGATCGAAACGTCGCCGTTTAGGGTGATTTTCCAGATGAAATCGCCGCCGGAGTTGGTGACGTAAGCATTGCCGTGGAAATCTACGGCGACGTCGTTAGCGACAGCGGCGTCGTCGTATTGAGTGACGTCATCGAGGAGAGGGGAGAGGAAGAGGCGGCGGTTGGATTGGAGATCGTAAGAAGCTAGGGCGTTGAAAGGTGTGGGGGATTCAGGGGAAGGGGGACGGTGGATACAGGCGAGGAGACGATTGTTGTACCGGTCGACGGTGAGACCGAGGAAGGAGGAGTTTTCAGGAAGTGAGGTATCGGTGATTAGAGATTCGACTACGCCTGCATCGGAAACAGCGATGAGTTTCTGATGATGAGTGCTTCCGACGATGAAGTGTTGGGATTTGGGATCCCAAGTGAATGATTCCGGGAAGAGATTACGTGATCGGAAATTGATGACGTGGGGTTTTCTGCCGGCGGCGAAAGGAACTGATAAAGCGATGAAGATGAATAATAAAGTAGAAAAGAGAAGTAAGGGAAAACTCAATTTCATGGTTATGGAGTAATGATAAGATCACACTCATAAATCAATTCTCTGTATTTATAACTTTATAATAATCCAAATTTGGTGTCGAGTTATTAAATTATATATATATATACGTTTTTTATTTAACATAGTATATGATAGATTATATATCGGCTTATTAAAAGAAAAGAATTAGATTACTTTTCAAATACTATCCTTTAGTTTAGGTAAATTGGTATAAGAATCTTATTTTACCACATTTTTAGATAGTTCTTGGACAAAAAATAATTTTTCGATAGTTATTGTTCAGTTAGAGTATAAATAGAACTCTTTTTATTGCGTGTTTTTTTTTTTTTTAAAAGTATAATATTGAAAATTACCATGTTTATTTTTTAAAGGGAAAAACATAAATTCACCCTTAAACTTATTTCGAAAGTCAGTTACACACTTAAATTATCATGATGACCTATTACACACATTTACTATTTTAAAATGATTTCTTTTACCCCAAAACTGACGTGGCAAAAAAAAAAAACACATTTGACAGTAAATAAAGTAAAAAAATAAATTAAAATCTTCAATTGAATTAATTGAGTACAGAAGAGCACTATACCATTCGAATATAATTTTTTCCTTATAATACTAAAAATACTAAATATAAATATATAAATTACATATAAACTAAAGTGAAGAGGTAAAACTTAATAAGAAAGTTATAAAAAATAAATAAAACGTAAACGATGCTTAAATCCGATCAAAGTTGGAATATAGTTGATAGATGATTAGAAGATAGATAAATTGTTTTGATAGACCTGTGACTTATCATTCACTAATGATAATGAGGAAAATATTTTGTTATGCTAGAATACATGCTTAAATCTCATATCTAGCCGCAATTAGACGGAATAAAACTACTATAAGATTCAGTATTGTGAATCATAGATATGGCAAACATTAAAACAGTTTCACTATTCATAATTGTCATTGTTTTACACTTACTTGCATCTCTACCTGGCTAATTAGCATTAAGGAATTCATCAATCAGATGCTAAAATTGAGAAGTAAGCATAACAAATGGGGAAAAGTACAAAAATCCTATATATTTGAGGGCTAATTACATTCTATCTCGAAAGTTTCTCCAATTACATTTTTTTTTGTCGCTCACGGATACATTCCTCTGTTATCGGATACATTGCAAACGATACATTACTTAAGATTATGTTATGTCATGTACATTCCGTTGTTGTCGGATATATTTATCTCTAATCTGTTACTTGTTGCATCAGATATCTTTCTCTGTTTGTCGGGTACATTGGTCTCTATTGATTCTATTACATCGGATGCATTCCTCTGTTATCGGATACATTGGTCTCTAGTCTATTGTTGCGTCGGATACGGAGATTTTTATAAACTTTTTAAATGATAGAAAATTTTAAGTTATGTATGCATGCATGTCATTTTTTTTTAACAAATACCTCATAGATTTATTTAGTTAAAAAATGGAAAAGGCTAAAAAATACCCTTAAATTATCGAAAATAGCTCATATTTACCCTTAAATTATATTCCAGCTCAAAACTACCCTTCCCGTCAAAGTATTGGATCACACTTACCCTTCTAGTTAACAGAAGTATGTTAAGTGCCACGTAGACGCCATATGGACACCACATGGACGCAACATAAGCGCCAAACATTTCCCACTTCCACGTAGACTAATAAGATACCTAATATCTAATTTTCTCAATCATTTCTCTTAAGATACGATTTCACCCATTTCCCCTAATGTTGTTGGTATTCGTTGTCTGGAAATCAACTCTGTGAAGCTGAGGAAATTGATTCTAAAACATGATAATGATTAATGCCATGCCTTGAAATTCATGCCCCGTATATTCGACATTTGGAACTTTGGGGATTGTGCTATTAGGAGAAACACTTTCAGTTGAAAAATGTGGCTTCACTTGTCAACTGGATTTGTTGCTCTTCAGGCTACTGGCTAGCAATTGCAATTCAAAGTCCTAAAATTAGTCATATCATGGTTATTGGTGTCTATAGTTCAGTGTCATTAGCTACTGCATTTTTCGTCTACCTCAGATCTCTATTTGCAACTCTCCTGGGATTAAAAGCTGTGAAACCCTACCCGCGAAAATGAGGGAAAAATTAGGGGAAATGGGTGAAATCATATTTTAAGATAAATGAGGGAAAAATTAGATATTAGGGATCTTATTAATCTACGAAGTGGGAAATGTTTGACGCTTATGTGGCGTCCACGTGACGCTTTACATACTTCTGTTAACTAGAAGGGTAAGTCATAAGTGTGACCCAATAGTTTGATGGAAATGACAGTTTTAACCGGAATATAGTTTAAGGGTAAATATGAGCTATTTCCGATAATTTAGGAATATTTTTGAGCCTTTTCAGTAAAAAAAAAACACATAACCATAAAGAAAAACTCAAATAAGATTTGCTTTACAAAAAGAAAAAAGAAAAACATAGCATTGGACCATGAGACTAGACCAAAATAGCAAAGGAAGCTATCATCAACACATTCATAATAAGTTAAAATTGCCACACGTGTCTATTGTTTAACTTTAACAAGTTTAAATATCTGTTTGTGCACATTCAAAATTAGATTCCGAATAATAAAGATAACAATTGAAATCAAGTTAAGATACACGTTAATCAATTATATCAAAATTCTATAATGATATATGAATAATTATTATTTTTTTAGGTAGACACGCGCCTAGATATAGCCTATATTTTTTATAATATAATGAAGGGCATTAGTTCACATAGAAGAAGGGCGGTTATCACCAAATTCAAATAGATTTCTTTCAAATAAAATTGGAAAACATAATTTGATAACATTTTCTTACGACATTGAAAAAGCTAAAGATATGTATGCCATTTCTTTCCCTCACTTTATAAAAAATCGCAAATTCATTTATACGTGGAAAGCTGATCATATCCACAATTTGTGAAAACATAAAACTCTAATAATTAGAAGTTTTAAATATATACCAATCTAAAAAAATAATATAGTTATCGTTTTTATTTTTACATAGATAGCTTGTTGGTTTGAATATAGTGTTCTTAAATGTCATGAAACCTCTAGTTCACCTTGCAATGATGGGCAAACTTTGGGGCTCCTAAATGGCTATTCATACTGTATATTGCATTAAACAGGAGGCTGGCAACAAAAGTCAGATTGGCTAAATGGGGAATAGAAACAACATTGACAAAACTCACTCTTTTTGGACTAGTTTATTTCGTGGGAGATAATAAATATTTCATGAATTAATTAAAATGTGTGAAAGAATTTATACGGTAAAAAAACAACTCATTTCACTACATGATTCATTGATGTTTTTAGTTTTATCTTTGATTTTGAACTTCTTTTATCTGTTCATTAGGTTAAAAGAGCATTGTACCATTCAAATATAAGCCTTTCTTTATACACTTGCTAAATATACTAAATAAATAAAGTACATATAAACTAATGTGAAGAGGTAAAGTTTAAATAAGAAAATTATAAATTATTATAAAAGGGAAAAATATAAGTTTAGTAGTAAATTATTTATTCCTAGCTCGTAAGGTGATTGAGAACTTTGTGATTTAGTTCATGAGATTAACTACTGTTTACTGATAGTGTATAGAAAAATTACTCTATCAGTTTTATTTTTTCTAATTTAATTATTATATTTTCACACTGGAAGATTAATGATTTTTCGGTTGCTCTTTTTTTATTTTAAAGCAATTCTATAAATTTACGATTTAACTTTTCGAAATAACATTCAAATATTTTTTATACTATCAAGGATAGCATTTTTTAATAATTTTTTTACCCCTCTTTCTAGGAGCTCTCATCTTTACTTTCTAATTCAAAATCACAATTTTAAAATTAAAAATGAATGGTGCTTATTGCTTGACATCTGAACAAACTCCTCTTATATTTACATCTCATAAGTTAACTTATATAGGTTAAATGGAATTATACACCATTGGTTAGGTCTTGTAAATACTTTATTCAAACAATTTTTTGGAAACTTAAATAAATCTCACTAATTTAGACGTTAATTATATAGATATACTCTACTTTGTAATATTATGTATCTTATCGTATTTTGATGCCTCTAAATACGTCCAAATACATATCTCTCAAATACATAAATCAAATTTAGGTGAATTTGTTGTAAATACATTATATCCAATCTAGGATATATAGAAAATCACACTCGTCTCTCTCCCTATTTTTATATATCTTGTTGCAAAAATACATATAGCTAAGAGTAAGATTCATAGGAAACTCTTAACTTAATAAGATATGTAATATTTTAAAATATAGATAATAATAGTATATATATATATATATATATGATCCTACTATGTACCCCTACTACGTTTACAAAATATCTATCATCATCCAATTTTACAAACTCCTCAAAATCACCAGAACTTTCCAAACAAAATATCTCAGGTCACAAAAACTAAAAATATCTTCTTATATTTATCAAACCAATGTACCATAATTGAATATTTTTGCTTCCGGAACCTTCTTGAAGCTTTATTGTTTATTCCCTAGAACCCAATGGAACCTTTTCCACCTCATAGATATTTCTATCTATCCATGTGGCTGCTGATTTTTTTGACAAACAAAGTTCCATTGGACCCCACTTCATCACCGACTTTAAAAATTCTTTCTTTATATAAATGTTTTCCTTAACACACTTTTTATGTCACATTTTCTTGATTTTCAGTTTTTGGGTTGTTAAAGATCTGATCTTTTTGACAAAATATTTAAACTGGAGGATACCCTTTTGCTTATTTGTTGTTATTTTGTGGGAATTTGATGAATTTAGAAAAAGGGGTTGTTAAAGATTTGATTTTTTTGAAGAAATATAGGAATTAGAGGACACCCTTTTGCTTATTTGTTGTTATTTTGTGGGAATTTGGTGATTTTAGAAAAAGGGGTTGTTAAAAGATTTGATTTTTTTGAAGAAATATTGAAATTAGGGGATACCCTTTTGGTTATTTGGTGAATGGAGATGGAGTTTAAAGAAAGGTTGCCTTCATATTACGGTG